AATTGATTGATGTGATTCCTTATATCATCATCATCATCATTACAGCCCTTCACAAGTCCACTGCTGAACATAGGCCTCCCCAAAGGAATGCCACAAAGCACGGTTCTGAGCCACCTGCATCCATCGATTTCCTGCATGTCTCACCAGGTCGTCACGTCACGTCACGTCTAGTGGGGGGTCGCCCTACACTTCGCCTACCGGTACGAAGCTGCCACTGGAGAACCTTTCTTTCCCATCGGTTGTCGGTTCTTCGAGCTATATGGCCGGCCCACTGCCACTTCAGCTTACTAATCCGTTGGGCTATGTCGGTTACTCTGGTTCTACTGCGGATATCCTCATTTCTAAGTTTATCACGCAGAAACACCCCGAGCATAGCCCTCTCCATAGCTCGTTGAGCGACCTTGACCTTACTCATACGGCCAGCAGTGAAGGACCACGTCTCAGATCCGTAAGTCATCACTGGCAACACGCACTGGTTGTACAATTTCGTTTTCAGGTTTTGAGGTATGTCTAAAGAGAAGATGTGTCGTAGTTTCCCGAACGCTGCCCAGCCAAGTTGAATCCGTCGATTGACCTCTCGGTCGAAGTTGGACTTACCTAGTCGGACTATTTGTCCCAGGTAAACATACTCGTCAACAACTTCGAGCTTAGTGCTCCCAACAACTACCGGCATAGGTGTGACATGGACGTTAAACATGATTTTTGTTTCGTTCATGTTCATCTTAAGACCTATCCGTTGGGAGACACTATTGAGGTCATTGAGCATAGTGCTTAGATCCTCCAGTGATTCTGCCATAAGGACTATATCGTCGGCAAATCGAAGGTGAGTGATGTACTCGCCATTGATGTTAATACCGTATCCTTTCCAGTCCAGTAGCTTGAAAACGTCTTCCAATGCAGCGGTGAAGAGTTTCGGGGATATAACATCACACTGTCTTACACCTCTCTGCAGTTGGATAGGTTTCTTACTCTGATTCTGTACTCGAATAGCCATCGTAGCTCTACTGTACAAACACTTCAACACTTCGATATACCGACAGTCAACTTGGCACCGCTGAAGAGACTGCAGCACCTCCCAAATTTCGACGGAATCAGAGGCTTTCTCATAGTCCACATACGCAAGGCAAAGTGGCAGATTATACTCCTCTGTCTTCTGTGCAATCTGCCGCAGGGTATGTATGTGGTCCATGGTACTAAACCCTTTTCGGAAACCGGCTTGTTCGGGAGGCTGAAAGTCGTCAAGTCTGCGTGCGAGACGATTCATAATGACTCTTGAAAACAGCACGTAGACGCGACTCTGAAGGGAAATCGGTCTGTAATTCTTCAAGAGAGCGTTGTCGCCTTTCTTGAAGAACAAGACCACCGCACTACTGCTCCACGCTTCGGAATTAAAGAGCTTCTGAAGGACTTCAAGTACCGGTTTTCAACCCGCTTTCAAAAGCTCCGCTGTAATTCCATCCTCGCCTGGGGTTTTGCCGTTTTTAAGGTGCTAGAGAGCCATTCTAATCTTGCTCAGACTGACGTCCGGGATATCTTCGGAATAGTGTCGGATAAGACTCTCTCTTGGATCGTTACTCACACTTGCGTGTGGCTCCAACGATGACGTGTACAGCTGCCCATAGAACCTCTCAATCTCACTCAAAATCTCAGGTGTCCCGGAAACGATGCTGCCACACTCGGTCTTCAGCTTTGACAGTTGGCTCTTTCTGGCAGACAGATCTCTGGCAAAGACTTTGGATCCTTGGTTCCGCTCGATAGCTTCTTAAATACAAGCTGTATTGAAGTTGCGCAAGTCCCGCCGCATGCATTTGGAGATCTGTCTGTTCAGTTGCCTGTATGCTGTCAAATCTGTTGAAGAATGTAGCTTCATCTCCCGTTTAATAGCCATGAGATTAAGGGTGTGATCGGAGAGGTTTTGTGTTCTTCTGCGGCGGGTCTTGAAGAACTTAGCTCCGACCGCATGGACAGTTTTCACGAGATTGTCATTCATATCGTCCACTTCATTGCAGTCTTCTCGGCACTGAAAACGGTTTTGTAACTCGAGCTGAAAGGTTTTGGGACTTTGGAACAGAGCACGAGGGGGACGGAGCGTTGACTTCATTAGACGAGACCTCTCCAACTTAACGTTTAGGTTCAGTGTGCCTCTAACCATTCGGTGATCGCTACCAGTTTTCACCCTCGCGATCACGGAGACATCACTAAACAGTTGTCGTCTGGTCGTCATAATGAAGTCAATCTCATTTTTTGTCGAACCGTCGGGGCTCGACCAGGTCCACTTCGTGTGGGGCCTGTAGAGTTCATCATAAAGAGTCCGTCTTTCTCCATGAAGTCGGCCAGCTGCTGGCACTTGGGTTCCTTGGCCCTATTCCTAATTTCCCTACTTTCAGCTCACCGTCATGTCTTGTGCCTAGTTTTACGTTGAAGTCTCCCATTAACACCGTATAGTGGGTTTTGGAGGAATGCATGGCTCTAGAGATATCCTCTTACGTTTCCTCCACCTCCTCATCGGGATGTGCCGAGGTTGGTGCGTAAACCTGTATGACCTTCAGCGAATACCGTTTAGTGATTCTGAGTATAAGGTACGCAACCCTCGTCGACACACTCTCAATCTTTACTACGTTGTTAACGAGAGACTTGTGGACGATAAAGCCGACACCTCCTTGGGACAGATGGTCGCCCTCCCGGTGATAGAGCAAGTTGCCGGATTCGAGGATTACCGTGTCCTCCCCCTCTCTTCGGACCTCGGATAGTTCTATAATATGCCAGCGTAACTTGTTTATCTCTTCTTCCAGCTCCACGATCTTCTCGTCAGTCCTCAGGGTGCGTGCGTTCTATGTTGCCAGGTCGAGTCGTCTTAGGTGGCAACCGAACCTCCGCCGGAGATTCTTAGCACCCCCTCCTTTTCCGATTCCTTATATACTAAAAGTAAAAAAAGGTACAAAGTTTTTCACCAATCAAAATGTCTTCATTAAAATATTTACGTAACACGTGATTCGTCATAAAAATATCAGCGAAACGAATTTTTGTATTGTTGATTTCCTGGAAACGAAGCGCGCGTGAACTCACACGCCTAGCGTAACTGATCTCCATTCCTGCTGCGCGTATTAATAAATTCATAAAACGACTTCTTATAGTACAATATCATGGTTCATGCTGATTATATAATAGTTCTTTTCAGAGCTGACTTATCTGTTTCACGAGACGTCGAGTGTAGTACACATAATTACACGAACATTATATCCTACAGTCTGGTTCTCCGTGAGTGTTGTACAACACCCGAAACGTTAGAAATTATAATAAGTTAAATTAACGCGATACTAGGCGTAAAATTAGTTTGACGTGATACTGAATGTTTTGCGTAACTCATAAATAGAACAAGTTTTATGTAAACTAATATAATATCATTTACTGCTTTTAAGTGTTAAAATTAATTCAAACAATTTTTGAAAACATAAGGACTATTGGTCAGAGCACACGTTTGAATGCTATCACGGCCTCTTCTGGCTCCGTAAATCTCAAGGCTCACATCAAATCTTTGACTTTTGAGAAGATAAAGAAATCGCATGGTGCAAGGTCTGGGACTGTGTGCGAGATGGGTTACGAACTCCACCTTCTCAGTAGTTATGTACGTGGTAGAGCCATGCTGCAGCTATATTTTGGTTGTAGCACGAATGGGTCGGCTCGACCGGGGTAGGACCACCCTCTCACAGAAAACCAGCATAAAATAGCAGCTTAATGCTGCTGTGTTTCGTATGGTGAGTGTAGAGAACCAGAGACCCTTTTTACTGGCAAAGAGGCATTTCATCTTAGTCCTCACGGGTGACAACGCATCTGCATCTTGAGTCTTTATTGAGGATAGATGTAGATGTCTATGGGTCACAGTAACCACTTACCATCAGGTGGACTGTGCGCTCGTTTGTCACCCGATCCTATAAAAAAAAAGTCAAAAATGACTGTCTTCACAGTTTGCTCTGATCACGCAGACCCGTCTGCGAGAAAAAAAACCGCTATCATTTTTTTGCCAACGCTTCTTGCCTGCCTCAATTTTATTGTTTTGCTGTTGCCTTTGAACACCCATACAGAAGACTGTTCCTTTTTTTATAAGATAAGGGTGACAAACGAACACACTATCCACATGATGGTAAGTGGTTGCTGCGGCCCACAGACATCTACATCTATCCTCGATTACAAATGAAAATGCAGATGCGTTGTCACCCGTGAGGACTAAGATGGAATGCCTCGTTTCCAGTAAAAAGGGTCTCCGGTTCTCTACACTCATCATACGAAATACAGCAGCGTTAAGCTGCTATTTTACGCTGGTATTCTGTGAGAGCGTGATCCTTTCCCGGTCGAGTCGATCCATTCGTGCTACAACTATACTCTTAATATATACTGTAGCTATGAATCTACCATGTACAAATTCTTTCCGGAATGCCCGTGACCATACTTTTAACAACATTTTTACACCAATCACCTCGAGCCCGTTTTTGTTTTAGGGTGAGTTCATGAGGAATCAGCGGCAATAAAGTTTTCTATGTTTTAAATGTTGATGTAAAGTTTTTAGAATTTGGTTCATACCAACACCTAAGTGTCCTCGGATCTCCTCATAGGTTATGCGCCGGTTTCCATCAATTAGTCGCCTAACAGCAGCCACAGTTTCCTCAGTGATTGCAATTGATGGTTCACGAATGATGCAACTTAAAAATGCAATGCTCCCAAAAGCATTTTGAAATATAGCAGTGCAATCTTGCGGAACGAGTGAACTTTTGAAATCGTAAATAATCATCGCCCAAAAATCTTTTAGCGTTAATTCCATTTTGCTAGGGATGACGAACTTGAACTTGTGAAAAAATCTATTGACCTACGCCCTCCCGCTAAAAATAATTTTAATCATTATATTTATGCATAGAAATTTTAATAAATATAATTGAAAAACTAGTAAGTTATGGCAGTAGTTTTATACAATATCCCAACTTTTATTCAGTTTAACTTACTTTCAGGAATTGGAGAACACGGTGTGACCGCTCAGCTGCCGAAATCGAAGGCTGCATTAGAGGAACAACTGTATTCCGTGAACGGTTTCAACGGGGCGCTGAGCGACAAAATCCCGTTGAACCGTTCCCTCCCGGACATAAGGCACCCCGGATGTAAAAAGAAACTATACATAGAATCATTGCCGACAGTCAGCGTTGTCGTGCCCTTCCATAATGAACACTGGAGCACTCTACTCAGGACTGCGTACAGCGTCATCAACAGGTCTCCGGAGTTTCTCATAAAGGAGGTGTTCCTAGTCGATGATGCCAGTACAAAAGGTGGGCTTTTAAACGTATGCATTTGTCTTAAGAATTTATGTGTGGTAAAGCAATCTATCACCCAAAGTCTAGCTGTGGTATCTTAATAAGTATAATTCTTCTGTACGTGTGTCACTGTACTCCTCCTAAACAGCTCGACTGATTTTCATGAACCGGGGCAGATTGATAGTGGTCTATAAGAAAGAAGAGAGTGAAAATTGTTCAGAATGTCTAATCTAGGGACATCTTCAGAAGAGACGTTGCTTCAGTTCCGGTTTGTGGACTTCGGATTTTCGAATTATTTTCAGATCGTTTTTAATTATAGTTACTTATAATTATGTAGATTATTTTTAGCTGACTTCTAAAAAAGACAAGGTTCGCAACTCGACCGTGTGTTTTTTCTGTATGTATGTTACGCAATATCTTCGTGAATTGTGAATCGATTTTGATGATTTTTTTTTAATTTATTATTAGGTTATAATATAAGGTAGTCCCATATAAATTTGGAGAAATAAATCCACCCATGATTTATGGAACGAGGTTCCTTATCGCACGGTACGAATTTGACGGATGGGGGCTAGGCGAGAAAAAGTGTAAGATTTTTCCGACATGACACCTTTCTATAGTGCCAGCGAGATGGAATAATATCCATCTCCCTCGCACTTTTTTTGTCTTGCCGTGAAAGAAATATTATTTTAAATGACGCTTCATTTTAATAGACGCTAGTAATTCATTTATTTGTATTTGTAAATAAATAATATAATACGTTTATTAGTAATAATGTACTACGAAAGGAACTTCGTTCCAACTGAGTGTTCCACGACACTCACGCATGTTTTTTTTTTTATAGAATAGAATAGAATGAATTTTATTCAATCCCTCTGTCGCCTCTAACGACACGGGGTGATATGTGGTAATAGATATTCTTACAAAAATACTATGCAGTAAAATATTTAAACTTTTTATAAAAGTTTAATTTTCTAAATGCCTAATTGAAATTATAGCCGTTTGTTTCGCTGAGCTTATATAATACGTATTGATAAATGTCAACATGCAATACTTGGTTGCCGGGATGCTAGTGCCTATCTGTTCCATTTCTCGCTGTCGCCCATCACTACACCCACGGGGTGATATGGCGTAATGGATTTTCTTAAGGCGGCTCTTCACGTTGGCCAACATAATGGCGAATGTGTTGGCAGAGATATTGGCCAAGAATTTGTGATCGCGTCCACACGTTGGAAGGTCGTTCAGTTTGCTTCGGTTCAGGCCAATGTGCGGACGAATTTATTAAAATGATTATTGAAGCGCTAACGGCTGTTGCGGTTTATGTATTCACAGCATACCACTATTTTTTTATTTAATTTTCACTATTTTTAATATTTTTAATATAATTTTTTAATATTTCTTTATTATACACTAACGTTATACAGATAAGTAAACTATATAAACATTAACACACCTAGGCATAGGTATAATTAACACTTTTACAACTAAAAATATTCGAAAATATTCGAAGCCTGTCTATGAAACTGTTGTAAAATTTTATTAAACAAAACCTTTTAAAAAAGGGTTATTCTTATTATATAATTATAGAATAAAACTTAATAATAATAATAATAAAATAAGCAAAAAAAAACAATTCTTTCCCTTTCCCCCTAACCCTCGGCCGTTTGGTCTCCCCTGCCGAGGGCTTCCATCTGGTTGAGTTTTTATTTATTTATCTATTTTTTATGCATTTATTTTATTTTGTTGATATTTATGTATGTTTATCATTTTCATTTACAATTATATATTTATACAGCCCAACCAGATGAGTAAACTATATAGATGCCCCAAATAATAATAATAAATAATTTATTTCGTCAAACATTAAAGTTACATTATATGATCAGTGATCGAGGTCACCTAGTAAGCAAAATAATGCCTGTAACAGGTGACTTCGCTCTTCCATAGCTAAAATTTACAGTATTATTAACGAAATAAAGTAACTAACTAATAGGGAATAATAAAGACAGTAAAAACATGATTTTAGTATCCTAACTTTTAATTTGATTTTAATATCTTACCTAGTCTCCTAGCATTATTAAATCAATAAATAAATTAATACATCAATCACTACAACGTGAATGTGTATAAGAAAAGGATGATCAAAAAGAAATGGAAAAAAAGAAATTTTATTTCTTGGCGGCTCCGTGGCGTAGTGGCTTAGCAATGAGTTGCTGCGCTGGAGGTCGCGGGTTCGAATCCCGCACGGAACGGTATTTGTATAGCCTGCACATAATTGCTCCTAGTGTGGGGGTAACGTTTTTTTTTTAAAAAGACTTGTGTTTCACAAACAATTTTCGGCTTGGTAGGGTTCTATAAAGCGAAAAGTTTTTTCATTGGTCATTGTTACTGCTGTTATGTAGAGATGCGTGCATATAAAATTTAAATCAGGTGCTTGCAATCACTCTGGGAGCTCCTAGCAAACTGAAGTTCAGTTACTGAACGTGCGCCCTACGTGTGGACGCGGCGGCCAATACTCTGCCACAACCCTTAGATCTTTTGTAAAAAACCGACACCCGACGGATCTCGCGCCAACTTGTGGGCCATCGTTCCAATACGTACCAACGTAGCTTAAACACCCGCTCTACACGATGGCCATCGTTGTTGGCCAACACATTCGCTAGTGTGTTGGCCAACGTGAAGAGCCGCCTTTACACAAACACAACACAGTGGCGTATAAATGTATCGCTGATAATAACCCATTTTTATCAACAAAAATAATAAATTACATTAGTTATTTTGATAACTGATAATTCCAAATTTGATAATTATTTAATTTCTTGACACATTCTATTTATATAATGATAATATTTCAAACATTATTAAAAAATATATATACTATTACAAATATTTTCACGGCTATCCCGGTAGGCGTAGGCTTAGGGTAGAATAAGTCAAATACCTACCCAATATAATCTCATCAGAGTAAAAAACTTTTTTTTTATATAGAATTAGGTTACATACGAGCACACAGTCCACCTGATGGTAAGTGGATGCTGTGGCTCATAGACATCTACACTTATCCTTGATTAAGAATCAAAATGCAGATGCGTTGTCGCCCTTGAGGACTAACATAGAATGCCTCTTTTCCAGTAAAAAGGGTCTCCGGTTCTCTACACTCACCATACGAAACACAGCAGCATTAAGCTGCTATTTCATGCCGGTATTCTGTGAAAGCGCGGCCCTTCCCCGGTCGAGTCGACCCATTCGTGCTACAACTATAATATAGCTGCAGCGTGCCTCTACCACGTAATTGAATTAATAATGAAATGAAATAATTCCAGAATTCCTGAAACAGAAGCTAGAAGATTACCTAGCACACCACCTGCCTAAAGTGAAAGTCCTCAGATTACAAGAGAGGAGTGGCTTGATAGCGGCGCGGCTGGCGGGGGCCCGGGTGGCGAAAGCTGACGTTCTCCTCTTTTTGGACTCTCACACGGAAGCGAGCGTCAATTGGTTGCCACCATTGTTAGGTTTGTGTACTTCTTTATTTGTAGTTAGTCTCTGTGTCCTCCCATTTGGAGGCAGACCATAATCAAAAAAGCAAAAAAAAAAAATCAACAAAACTTAAGTCTGAAAATACAAGTTTGCTATGTTTGGAGATTCCTTTTAAGCTAAATAAATTGTTTGTCCTAGGAAACTTCGCTCTTCCAAAAACACTTTTACAACATACATTTAGACTACTATGTTAATGAAAAAGTCTCTCAGCTACATACTAATAATTTAAACAAGGTATGCATGCAATTATTACTTTGTGTGATTGAATGGGAAAATTTGAGTGAGTGTGTGTGTGTGTGTTCGAGTGTATGTTTTTTTTTGTATATATGTTCCGCGATATCTTCGCAGATTGTGAACTGCATAAACACTCACGCCTGTCACCCAGAGGGGTAGGCAGAGATTATGGATTTCCATTTGGCACGATCCTAACACACCTCTCGCTTCCTCCACATCCATATACCTACGCATACACGCTCGTCCGTTAAAGGTACTCTTGATTTGGCCCATTTTTAATATATCGCCAATTTGGTCGATAAACTTTCGCCTAGGGCGACCCTTCCCGACTATGCCGTTCACCTCTGCAACATAAATTTGCTTTGTCACTCTTTCCTCATTCATTCTTTCTACATAGCCAAACTACCGAAGCATTCCTTTCTTAATCCTGGTCACAACATCATCTTGCAAACCACACTCTTCTCTTATTAAACAATTTCTCACTGTGTCATTCAGCTTCATCCCTAACATACTCCTTAATGACCGCATTTCTACAGCATTTATTCTACTCTCATGCTTCTTCTGCCACACCCAACTTTCACTACCATACATTAAAGTAGGTACTAACACAGCATTGTGAATTGCCATACGTGCCTTTTTGGACACATTCTGACTTTTCACAATAGAGTGTAGAGCCACATTCACTCTATTTCCTGCATTCACTCGTCGTTCTATATCCTTATCATATCTACCATCCCTGCTAAACACACATCCCAAATATACAAACTCATCTACTTGCTCTACCAACTCCCCTTCTATTCTTATTTCACATATCGTTTTACTTTCTTTTCTTTCAAAAACCATAACTTTCGTCTTACTTGCGTTCACTTTCATTCCCTTTTCTTTTAATGTCCTGTTCATTAATGTAACCATCGATGCAAGTATGACTTGATCATCGGCGTACAAAAGGCATTTGACGGTTAACTCACCCATTCTTAACCCGCGTTCTTCTACTTTCAAATTTTCCAAACAACTGTCCATAAATAGGTTGAACAACCACGGGGAAGCCACACAGCCCTATCTGACACCTTTATGGATGCCAAACCTGATTCATCATCGATTGTGAACTGATTTTAATGTTTATTTTTATTAAATAGGTTTTACCTCAAGAATGGTCCCATTAAATTTTGAAGAAAGAATTCTGCCCCCTAGGGTGGAAAATATGGGGAAAAATGTTTCATATTGGACTATTGTTTAAGGAATTTGATATCATATCTTCGCAGATTGAGCATTTAATGATTCTTTTTTTATTAAATAAATTATACTTCCACACTTAATGGTGGCAAATAAAAAAAACATCCATGAGTGTCGTGGAACAATTGGTTAGAACAAAGTTCCTTTCGTTAATATATTATTATTGATAAACGTATTATATTATTGATTACAAATAAAAATAAATGAATTACTAGATAATGAAGTGTCATTTAAAATAATATTTCTTTCATGGCAAGATAAGAAAAAGTGCCAGGGAGATGGATATTATTCCATCTCGCTTCTATAGAGAAAGGGTCGAGACGGAAAAATCTTACACTTTTTCTCGCCTAGCCACCATCCGTCAAATTTGTACCGTGCGGTAAGGAACTTCGTTCCAATAACTTTTTTGAAGTCGGTTTTTACTTTTTGTTAAAAGTTATAATTATTTAAAGTAATGACCTATACGTATAAGTTCCACTGGGTTGGGTGACCCCATATTTCTGAGTGAGTTTTGGAGCGGGGAAAAGTTTCGCCAGCCTCAGAGCTCTCGTAAAGTTTCCGTTACGGACTGTCACAATTCGCGAAAACGAAAGTCAAATTTATCCAAACGGCGCATGTGAATAACGTTTCAGATGCCATTGATTTTTATCTTTCCCCCTTCTTACATTCATCATTATTATCCTATCGACAGTCTCCAATAGATTGCGCACTGCATCACAGAGGGATATTTGCCATAGTTGCAACGTTTGGCAGGCGGGTTGGCAACCGCAGTTTTTTATTATTTTAGTATATTATTTATTAAGTGTGGTGATGAATTCCCGTCCCCACCAACCGGGCGAATGTTTTATAACTTCCATTTTCGATTTAATCCAACAGAACCGATAGCACTCAACTACCGTACGGTTGTCTGTCCGTTCATTGATGTGATCGCGTACGACACGTTCGAGTACCGCGCACAAGACGAAGGCGCCAGAGGTGCTTTCGACTGGGAACTGTTCTACAAGCGACTGCCCGTACTGCCCAAAGATGAGGCCAACATGCCGGAGCCTTTCGAGTGAGTCAATAATTCCTTTTTTTGAGTGTAAACTTCTTTAGAATCGTGATTTGGAACGCCATGTAATGAAAGCGGCACCAAAAAGCGACAAAGAGATTATACTATAAGATTTAGACTGCAACTAAAAAAACTAGAATGAAACAGAATACAGTATATACATTGTTTCATGATATCTCGTTCTCTTTATTTAAAAAAAATAATAATGGATAAGGGCGTAAAAATTGTTGCTGGAATTATTAAGCGTCTACTTATGTCACCGTTACAGATTTCAATATAATAATTTACTATGTTTTATCTAATCAAGCTTATGTCCTATCGAAGTCTGGAAAAAATCATCATACCTAATTTAGAACTAAATTGACTAGTTGTTGTAGTTGTTACGATTCGCCAATTAAGACAGGCAAAGGTCTTATAACATACAGTCTAGTCTAATGTGTATTTTGTTCACAAAACTCTTCTCAGTATACTAATGCATTATTTTAGAATACCCTTTATGCTATTAATTACTCTATATAAGCGTTATTGAAAATTATATTGACTAGATGTTGCTGTATCGATTTGCCAATTAATGCAAGCAAAGGTCTTATACCATACAGCTTAGTCTGATATGAATTTTGTTCGAACTTTAATATCTTTAATTCTTGAGTTGCTGCAGTAGTATGACTCTAAAAAAATATTCACGATTTCAAACTATATTTTTACATATTTTTCATTTGTAGATGCAAGAAAAATATGTCAACAAAAATTTGTTTGGGAGTACTTTCTTAAATAAATAGAATTAACCATATTGAATAAAATTATCATATTCCATCCATTCAAAAAAATCCACGAATTCATAACTTACCGATTTATATTAAATTAGTCGTGTTTAGGCCATCTAGCGTCTATTTGACGTACCACCTTAAGAGTTGATCAATTTTTGTTCGATAAAATGAACTCACCTTTAGAATGAAGTAGATGGCGCTATTACAAAATAATTTTACTCACAGTTTTTTAAAGGTTTCACTTTTACCGCGTGTGAACTGAATAAATGTTCTTTTTTTATAGAATAATGGTGACAAACGAACACACACTCCATATGGTAAGTGGATGCTGTGTGCCCATAGACATCTATATTTAGCCTCAATAAAGAATCAAAATGCATA